CATCTATATAAATCCATGGTATGCCCACATCTTGAATACTGCGTGCAGATGTGGTCACCCCATCTCAGAAAAGATATTGTAATTGGAAAAGGTACAAAAAAGGGCAACAAAAATGATGATGGGGCATAGAACAGCTTCCAAATGAGGAGAGATTAATAAGAATGGGACTTTTCAGCTTGGAAAAGAGACGACTAAGGTGGGATATAATAGAGGTCTGTAAAATCATGATGGGTGTGGAGAAAGTAAATAAGGAAGTGTTATTTACTCCTTCTCATAACACAAGAACTAGGGGTCATTGAATGAAATTCAAAGGCAGCAGGTTAAAACAAACAAAAGAAAGTATTTCTTCACACAACGCACAGTCAACCTGTGGAATTCTTTGCCATAGGATGTTGTGAAGGCCAAGAGTATAACTGGGTTCAAAAAAGAATTAGATAAGTTCATGGCGGATAGGTCCAGTGGTGAGCTGGTGCCGGTTCGCACCGGTTCACGTGAACTGGTTATTAAATTTAGAAGCTGGTTTAGAACTGGTGGTTAAAGGGGTGGGCAAACTCTGGCCCGTGGGACCATCCTGTCCGGCCCGCCTGAGCTCCCGGCTGGGGAGGCTCCCCTGGCCCCTCCCCCCCGCTTCTCCCCTCTCGCAGAGCCTCAGCGTGCCACACCGCCGGCGCCAGCACTCTGGACCGCTCCTGGGCAGCTCTGCAGCTCCTGCCGCTTTGAGCGGCATGGTAAGGGGGTGGGGCTGCGAGCTCCAGTGGGCCACGTGGCACCCATACACGCTGCCCTGAGCAGCATGGTAAGGGAGCCGGGTCGGGGCTGGGAGGAGGGGTTGGATAAGGGACAGGGAGTGGTTGGAGGGGACGAAGATTCGTGGGGGGGGGGGTGTCAGGGGATGGGGAATGCGGGGGCGTTGGGTAGGCATGGGAGCTCCATGGGTCTGTCGGGGTGGTGGTGGATGGGGTCGGGGCAGTCAGGGGACAGGGAGCAGGGCGAGTTGGGTAGGGGGTGGAGCCCTGGAGGGGCAGTTAGGATGGGGTGTCTCAGGCTTGTACTCACCGGGCAGTGCTTAATAACCGGTTCCCTACCGGGTCGTCGTTGGCACTTTGGTGGCGGGTCGTTCACTTGTTCCAGGTCTTCGGCGGCACTGAAGGACGTGCCGCCAAAAACCTGGAGTGAGTGAAGGACCTGCCGCTGAAGACCCAGTAGGGAACTGGTTATTAACATTCTGGCAGCTCATCACTGGATAGGTCCATGAATGGCTATTAGCCAGGATGGACAGGGGTGATGTCCCTAGCCTCTGTTTGCCAGAATCTAGGAATGGGCAACAGATGATGGATCACTTGATGATTACCTGTTCTGTTCATTCCGTCTGAAGTACCTGGCATTGGCCACTGTCAGAAGACAGGATACTGGGTTAAATGGACAATTAGTCTGACCCAGTATTGCTGTTCTTATTTAATGTAGGTCCTACATCCCAATACAAAAAAAGAAAATTATTAGAGGCGGCTTCATCAGGCACTTAAATACTCTAGTGGTAAGGGACATTTCACTTCCTAGATTGATTCCTTTATGAAAAGAATGGACCTGAATAGTTTGAACAAACTTGCCTACACAATATATCCAGATTTTGTATAATATAGCACTATCCACCACAGCAGCCAGTTTTCTGTGAAGAAAGATCAGCTGGATATCACAGTGATAGGTGCCTTGGAAATACTCAAGAAAGATGGATAACTCTTAAGATCTGATCCTGTAGACCTTACTGAGGCAAAAGGAAGGATTGGACCCTAGGTTTCATCACCAAAATAATTTAAGGGCTCTATT